GTATCATCTCTCCTGGAAACCCATTTGTAGAAATGATTCTCTTTTAGGTCCTGTTGTTGGAGAGGATGTCGAATGGATATTGAACCATTTGATTATAGCGCTACCTAAACGTTGAATAGGTCCTGTTGTTGAATGGGCCACGTTTAGTTCCAAAAAAGTTTTCCAAAAAGTGCTACAGTAGTCATCACATCGAATCTTGCGATACGTGCATGGAGCATTAAATATAGACGAAAAAAAACTAATTGCACAGTTTGGTTGGAAATCGCGAGACGAACGTTTTGAACCTAATTAATTCATAATTGAACACTAATTGATAAATAAAAACAAAAATACTACGGTAGTCAAATTTCTAAATTTTGCCCAACTAAACACGCCCTAGCCATGTGGATCCAAAAGAGCCCGGCATGTAGCAGCGCAGCGCAGGTGTGCCGGTGTGTTGTCCAGCCCTTGCAGGACCTAGGGCTAGCTACTCGAATTGACGTGAGTAGCCAACACAGAAGCATCAGCCTTTCCTTCAAAAAGCACAGAGAGAGTAGTGAGGGAGAGGGATTGCAGAGAACGTGAGTGCATGCGTGCGTGTGTGAAAACTGAAAACTCAGGAGCCAGGATCAAGTTGACGGCCACACCACACCACAGCTCACCAGGCAGCGGCCACCCGGCACCGGCGCCCCCCTAGCCTGTCGACATGTCGCCCAAAGCATCAGGCGATTTGTCTGTTACCATTCCCATTCTCGCGTCGCTGTCGCGGCGTTGCGTCCCTGTGCTGCCCTGTTTCCATTTTTGTACAGTTTGCGCCCTTTCTGAAATGCCGCTGCGCTTAGCTTGCACATCATCGTCTTTATAGCTCGATCGGCAGTTCTCGGGTGGATGTTTGGATCTATGATTAAAATTTAGAAAATGTCACATCGGATATCATATCTATTATTAAATTAGGTGTTCGGATATCAATAATAAAACTAATTATAGAAGTTGTGACTAATTCGTGAGACGAATCTATTAAACCTAATTAAATCATCATTAGCACATGTTTACTTTAGCACCATGTTATCAAATTATGAACTAATTAGGATTAATAGATTTGACTCACAAATTAGTCTCAATCTGTATAATTAGTTTTATAATTAGTCTATATTTAATGCTTCAAATAGTGTCAAACATATCTACTGCAGTCGATACACTAAATCTTAGCCAGCAAACACCCCCGAACCATGGCACTCCTGACTCCTGCGACGACGCTTCGGGCCTGATCCTGACATGCACACGATAGGAAGCAAATGGATGGATGGATAGATGGATGGGTACAGTTCGTGCTTGTCAGCCGTGAGATTTGTTTGGAGTACACGCTAGGAGAGGAGTAGGGAAATTAAACCGCACATTTGTTTGGTGTTTAAAATAGACTAGGAAAATACACCTTCCATAATTTTTTTTTCGTTCAATACGTGCATGGATCCTACAGTAAGATTTAAATTTCTTATAGTCTCTGACCCAACAAATGCCTAACAATTTGTACTAGATTATATTATCATACAAAATTTAGTATTCTGTAATCATACCTGATCAATGTCTCGTATGGTGTCCGTTTTATAGTCATGTGAAACGGAATATAAAAGGTTTCGATCGAAATGTGCCGTTGCATGCACATCATATTAGGTTAAACCACACGCCAGTGCCACAGAATGGAAAATCACTGTCAGACGATTTTAAACCGTGATAGGTGTACCACTGTCGGTCCATAAACAACGAACTAATCACTGCTGAATTTTAAAATCAACCGGCAGTAATCCCTCGATCCTGACCTGAAATTTCTATTCAACGCATTTAACTCGCTATCCAGTTCACGTCCGCGTCCTTATTAGGCCTTCCCTCTCTCGCTCTTCCTCTGGCCTCATCTCTCTCTCTCTCTCCATGCGCCTCTCTCTCCCTCCTCTCCTCCCCTACCCTCTGAATCTCTGATCTCCTCCGTACCTCAACCTGGTGCACGCGCTTCTCCCCGACCCTCCGATCTCCTCCTTACCTCACCCTAGTGCGTGCACTGGCCGTGACCCGCCGCGGGCGCTACTGATAGCGATGGCGCAGGAATGGGCCTAGCATCGGTGATGTGGCTCGATAGTGGTAGGACATTGCGAGGGCGTGCGCGGTTGCCACGACGTGGGCATAGCCGGCAGGAGCACCGACACGAGCGGCGTTGGTGTTTTTTTTCATTTGTTTTGTGAAATTGGGCATCACTATCGGGTGAGCAACTGGTAGTGAAAAGTTAGACCTATCACTGTCGATTGCCCACTGATGGATCAATATCTAATAGTGAAAGGCTATTTGGAACCGACAGTGAAAGCAGATTCTAGGGTACGTAGTGCGCTAGCTATACATATTCTGAAATGGACATGGTGGTATATATCATATACTTTCTCCGTCTTGCGTTGGTTTCTTGGTTATGTCTGAAACTGTTTCTTGGTGGCCGCATGTTTGGCCCTTGTTACCTAGTGCTAATCCGCTGGTCTTGGTCCAGCTAGTTATCTATGTTTCTACTTCTGAACTATTTTAAACTTCTGTATTTCCGTTACATACGTTAATGGAAATGGGGCGAGCCTCGATTTGAAAATCATATACTTTCTCCATTCTAAATTGCTAGTCCTTCTAGTTTTTCTAGGTACGTAGTTTTTGCTACACACCTAGATATACATTATATTTATTAGATATCTAGAAAAACTAGAATGACTTACGATCTGAAATGAAGTGACTCGGACACAAATTTTAATTATTAAGTAGGAACATGACTTGATCTTATCAGTTTAATCTCATCCATCGGAAGAACAAAAGCGCTAAAACTTCTTTTCTGGATTGTTTTCTAGGTACTTTGAAACGGGGCATGTAGCCTTAGATTCTGAGTATGTTCATTAGTTATTCCAAAATAGGTCCTATACCGCTATACGCATATACTCCTACTTTATTGTTGTTTCGATCGTATACCATCAATTGTCATCAAGCCATCACGGTCAGATATTGCCAGCATCACACATTCATCACTTAGACATACAGCCGTACAGTACAGGCATCCCACCGTACCAGTGCATTCGTATGTCATCGTACGTATACAGTAGCTGCACTTCTTCACTACCAGTCTACGATAGATGTAGCCTAGCTGCAACAATAGCACCTGAACTTACGCTGCAAGAAGAGAGATGAGCTTAGCTTTGCTGCAAGTCCTAGGTGGCTACTCCACCGATCGATCGCTCTCTCTAGCTGCTACGCTCGCGTGTGAGATAAGAGGTACACAGACGCTGACACACTAATAACGTATTACACGTACATGTGCTTCCATCCGGATCCCCTGGATACCGGCACGTACGCATAATATTTTTTTTGAAAACTCGTACGCATATGAGATTTGAATCTGATATCAAATATCTTTTGCTTGGCCTAGCTTCTTTGTCGCAGCAACGTATGTACTTCTGTCCTACTACTTCCCGTTGCTCCATGCATGCACGGAAGAGAGCTGGGAACTGGGAGACAAGAAGGAACGAACTTTTTATTTTGCTACAAAAGAGGCAGAATCTTGGCAGGGTTTTTTTGGACACACTATGATTTTGGACCTGTGGATTGTGCAAGTCCTGCAGGCAATCCTTCGGCCCATGACTATGCCCTGGACTTGGAGATGGCAGGTGGTGCGTGTCTGACACGAAGGAGATGGCAGCTGTTTACTGCCCTCCGTCGTCCATAAATTAAAGAACACGATTCTAGCTAACACATTACTTCCTCCGTTTTAAATAAATCAATTTATAGAGTTGTCTAAACTCAAACATTTATATACTTACCGAAATTGTCAAAATAAGCACAAATATTTATAAAACTAAATAAACACATTATGAAAATGTATTTTATGGCATATGTGATGATACTAATTTGATGTCATAAATCTATTCGCTCTTTTCTATAAATTTGATCAAATTTTAAAGATTTTAACTTAACAACTTTAGAATTTGATTTATTCGATGATAGAGATAGTACCAAGCTAAAGTATCTTAAATTGGACTAACTATATATAAAAATATCAATATTTTTATATCAAATAAGTAACATTAAATTTGTCATGAGATATATTTTATAGTATACCTAGCTATTTGGTACCATAATTAATATTTTTACCTATATATTTGGTCAAATTTTACATACTTTAAGTCTTTAACAAAGAATGCATTTAGAATTGTTTTTTTTTTGCAGGATAGAGGAAGTACCTCATCTTAAATAAATAGTATAATGTAATAGATTCTATGTGTCTTTAGTCAATTATACTTGTTTGATCAAGCTTTGAGATGCCATGGATAGCGAGATGATAGAGCTTTGGTTGACTTGGTTCTAGCGTGATTTTAACTAACCAAGGTGCGTCGAGTTCATGTGTATTGTGCAAGATGTTTCTTGGATTGTGAATGTGCTTATGTTAGTTGCATCAAGGTGGTCGACATCAACATGGAGAAAGGCAAAGCGAGGGGTTCAGGTCAATGGACCGTGGGTGGTGAAGACTGAATACAAAGGCTTTGACTGATCAAGGGAACAAGAGGCTAAAGGATGGATCAAGGATGTCGAGCACTTGGCGTGGTTACGAGTGAGAGCACATGTGAGATGGTAATAAAAACGGTGTTGATCAAAGTTAAAGTCCGGGTTGGACCAAGTCAAAGCGAGTGTCATGGTCGGCAAGACCTATAGTAGGAGAAGACAATGAAACAAGGCAACTGGGTTAAAGTAGCGAGGGGCAATAGGCCCAGTTGTTATAGATAAAGTCTCATGGGCCAAGCCCATTAGCAATTGTAATCCCCTTATATATATATGAGGGAGACACTTAATGAGAAGGCAAGCAAGTTTAGGGTTAATCCCTTTATCCCTCTCCTCTCTTCTCCTCTATGCCGCCATTTTCTCTCTCCTTCTCCTCCAACGCCGCCTCCCTCTTCTCCCTCTCCTGCGCCGCTCCTGCCAGCCCCCTGCCGACCTCCGTCACCAACAGCACCCTACCGACGGCTCAGCCAGCCAGCCACCGACCAGCCAGCCCTAGCAGGGCGCCTAGCCACCTGATCGGCATCAGCCGATCCCGTCAGCCGCACAGCGATCAAGCGATTAACAACTGGTATCTGGAGCCACGTCGTGAACAACTCCATGGGAGGACATCTGCGTCATCACCGATCATTGGGCAAAGATGTTCGATTTTTTTCCCAATCAGGAGGACGAACAGAAGTACGTACCACCCTCCAAACGAGCACTACTACTAACTCCCACCATACCTCATATCACACTTCCCCCACTAGAACCAGTCATGTCAATTCAGTCAGTTCCATCAGAAGCTCCACCCGATCCACAGCACAACAGCGACATGCAGAAGGACGAACAACATCAGTATCGACGCCTGACAAACCACCACAAATTATCGTTCCCCGAATATAATGGGAACATAATATAAAAGAGGAAGAACAGATGCATCTGGCAGCTTTTCATCTGCAAGGGGACGCCATCACCTGGTACATTAGATGGGAGTAGAAAATTGGTCACCCAAATTGGCCGTAATTTTTCGAGACGATTGATAGACGCTTCGGCCCTCCACTCCACCACAACCACCTCGGCGATCTCACCAACACCCGCCAATTAGGAGAATTGGAAAAATATATAAACCAATTTCTCCTCACGTTAACTAAGGTAACATGTCTTTCCACTGCTCAACAAGTAATGCTATATACTGCAGGATTAGCATCAACACTAGAGATAGACATTCAACTTCAACAACCCCTAGACTTGAAGACAGCAATTGCATTGGCCTAGAAATTTCAGCCCACAAGCCTGCCGCAACAGTCTGTTCAACACCAACAGCAGGACGACCTGGATATACAAATCTCACTTAATGCGGTTACATGAATCACCACAAGATAGACAATGCAGGTTCAACTCTGAATCAATGGTCGTGATTTCCTAGCACTACTGGATTCAGGGTCAACCCACAACTTCATCGATTCAGATACAACAGTTGACCTCAATCTCCAACGCACATCTGCTCCAAACTCTCTTAAAGTTGCAGTTACAAATAGAGACCAAATTTCTAATGTGGACATATACAACAATTTAGTAGTCCACATTGACACAGAATCATTCATCATTGACTGCTAAAGCATCAAGCTCGGTGGATATGACTTTGTATTGGGTGTCAATTGGCTAAGCTTGCTCGGACCAATTATCTGGGATTTCAACAACCTCACCATAAAATTTTAGCAAGCAGACGCCGAATTATATGAACAGAGTAAACCGCCACAACAACCACGCCTACGCACACTGAATTCCTCATAAACAATATACAACCTTCTGGACACCTTTTCATCTCTCTTCAAGGACCCTCAAGGGTTACCACCAAAGAGACGATATGACCAACGCATTCACCTCAAGGATCCAAGTAAATCAACAGCTGTCCGACCCTACCGCTACCACAGATCCAAAAAGATGAATTAGAAAAACAACGTCACAACATGTTGACACAGGAGATCATCAGATACAGCACTTCTCCATTCTCAACACCAGTATTACTTGTCACCAACAATTCCTTGCCGTCTGATTGCCTCTCTACGTCGTCGATGCACCTAGCCTGCACTGCCCCACGGATGCTTCTACACCTCTCCAGGGATCGCACGTACCTTTCCAAGGGAACCCCGCCACATGCGCCGTCGCCTCCTGCACGCGTCCCCCACCCGCCGCCGCTCCCATCGCCCGCCTCCCTCTTCCACTGCTCCCCCCTCTGCGCTGCACCCGACGCCGCGCACGCCGCGGGCCCTGCCGCCCAAAGCCGCACCGCCGGGGAAGGCCCAACCTCCTTGCACGGCGACTTCTTCTGACTTCTGTCCAACCTGCTCCTCCGCCCTACCTTCGTCCGGCTCGACGTCCGCACGCCAACAACCCCGGCCTCTTTGGCGACCACCTTAGCTGCGCACTCGGCTCCTCCCGCCGCCAGTTCAGCACGCCGCTGCACCAGCCATCCAGGGCAGTCGGAGGTCCACATCAACGACGCCCACCATGTGTTCACTGAAATACCTTCAAGGTAACATATTTTACAAGTTCTGCTTTCTTGAGGATTTTCCAGTTTAATTGAGATGGATCTGACTGTTTCCTTGCATCTGAGTACGAACTACATTGAGAGCTTCAATTATTAGGCGTTACTGAATCCGAGTATTCATTTTTTCCCCAAAGATTCATGTTCAGAACCCATATGTTAGGTTTCTTTTCCTCCGCTGTTCAAATGGGATTTACCATACTTCATCACTGCTTAGTTCTAGAAATTGTTGATTCTGTGATACTGCAGCATCTCTCTCTATCTCCAAAAATTTGTGTGGCTTCCTATGCTAGGGTTATGATTATGATTGGGAGCCCATCACCATGTTGCTTACCATTACCAACCATCCCTGTGCTTCACAAGGGTTTCAGGTGCTTACAAATGTGAGTGATGATTTCTTAATGTTTGCTTCCCTCCGAGATTTGTTGAACAAATATACCAATACCTGTTGTTAGTTTCCTGCAAGATTTGACCCAAAAATTATCCAGTGACCTGTATTTTTTTGTTCTACCAATTTGTTGTGTCCTACACCAAAGCCCCAGTGAGTTTAACTGGTATATATATAGAGCTCATATATTTCCTATTATTGTGCAACTGGGGGAAATCATGTTTTGTCATTTTTGTTCTACAAACTCATTTTTGAGGAAAGGCTATTTGTGTGTGTCGTCCAAAACATATATGTTTTTTAAAAGAAAACATAGATGTTAGTTCTCCAGTAGCCAATAGTTTACCTTTTTTAAGTGTTCCTGTCAGACCTATTGGTTTTGTTCGCTACTGCAGTGCAATTTTATTTCCTACTATACAGGACCTATAAGGCAAAGTTTGTTCACCAGGAAAAAAACATCCGCTTGATTGCGAAATTGAATTTGGGAATTGTAAAGTGTCCCCTGTCAGACCTATTGGTTTTGTTCGTTACTGCAATACAATTTTATTTCCTACTATAGAAGAGACCTATAAGGCAAAGTTTCTTCACCGGGAAAAAAACATGCTCCGTTTGATTGCTAAATTGAATTTGGGAATTCTTCTCTTTACGCAAAAAAGCAAACACCCTACCCATACACTATATACCTTCGCTTATTTGGTACTTGGTACTATTTTTCAGACAATTCCGATAAAAGTGATGCCGGAGATGATATTCCAAAGGTAACCTGTTGTCGCTCATTTCTACATTGGCTTCAATGAAAATGATTCCCCCCCCCCCCCCCAAGATGTTCACTTTGTACATTTGATTCAAATATGTCAGCCACACACCAGAGAGTGTGCTTTTTAAGTGCACAAATAGACATGGTTACCTCAAACGTAACTTCTAACGCCCACAAGCTAGCAATGGATTGCCGATGAGGGCAACAGGGAATAAAGGTAATCCTGCGACGGTTTCTGTACATTGATCTTGCCAGTTCCTAATTCAAACACAGTCACAATTTTAGCTTTGTTAGAGTGTGCATTCCGATTCAGCATATTGAAAAGCTTAGGATTGATAATGTCTCTACCTAATGGAACCTGTTTCGATATGTATTTCTCCTACATTTGTGTAATCTGATATGCCACTGTGGCTTAAGGGACAGTTTCGAACCTGAATCAAAACACAGACAAAGATGACCCATTACAGGGATAGAGGTTCCCACCACGAATTTTCCTCATCTTTGTCTGCATAATTGTACGCAGAGATTAACAAGCTTATATAGTCTGAAGACAATATTCAGCATATTGAAAAGCTTAGGATTGATACTGTCTCTACCTAATGAAACCTGTTTCGATATGTATTTCTCCTACATTTGCGTAATCTGGTATGCCACTGTGGCTTAAGGGACAGTTTCGAACCCCAACCAAAACACAAACAAAGATGACCCATTACAGGGATAGAGGTTCCCACCACGAATTTTCCTCATCTATGTCTGCATAAGTTACTGTACGCAGAGACTAACAAGCTTATATAGTCTGAAGACAATAGACCATGCACGCAAAATGTCAATGTGTTTAGTTCTCTGAATATACTTCAAAAGCTGCAAATATTGTCAGCTTAGACACACATATATAAGGGCGTACCTAGTGCAGAGAGCTCCCGCTCTGTGCGGGGTCTGGGAAAGGGTGTTAGTGGCAAGCCTTACCCTTGTCTGTGCAATGCGAGGAGACCACGACTCGAACCCGGGACCTTCTGTCACAGGCGGTAAGACTCTACCGCTTGCACCAGGCCCGCTCTTGATAGACACACATATATGCTCCATTCAAATATTTGGTAATTACTATGATGTCGTCAACTTTACTTACAATTGATAAGTTTTGTAACTGATAGTCCAATGGTCTAATTCGAATTTGTTCTGCAGAAAATGCTGCAGGCTCCATTTTATTTATCAAAATTTGAGACATCCTCACCAACGATGGTCGACCAACAGGGGTCTCATTCATAAGGGACATGTCTGCAGAACTCAATCTGGTTGTTTGCTAAGGGTGTCTTACTCAATACTGACGTGCTCATCCTTTGCTGATTCACATTTATCCAACGTCTTATCTTTCCTTTTCCTTGGCTTTGGCAGTGTCTTCAGTTTCCTAGATGTTTTGCTTACAATAAATTACAGATTGGCTATGCACAACCAACAGTTGAAGATTTTTTTTCCGTTTGGAACAACCGCTTTGGATTTTATGATGAAAAGTTTGCACAATAAATGTCATTAAATCCCAAAGTGACAGGATTTGCGAATTCTAATATGTTCAATGTCTTCTTCTGTTTTCATGACCATGCTTATATGTCATACCTCGGCTAGCCCGCGCAACTGCGCGGGGGTTCCAGCTAGTGTTAATATTATTTGTAAACCTATTCAGGTTTGTAATTGATTAAATCTTGGGAAAAATAAGATGTACGTACAGTTTTTGTAACGGAAAAGTACCGGTGTAAAGGCCGCGCCTCAGCTCCCATGGTAGGGTACTAGGGGCACGCGGGCCTAGCTGCTCTCCTCCAGTCAGCCCAATTCTGTTGCGTGTACCGAGTCTTGGGCCGCGGTTCCCTCTTTCCCACGTCCCAGACTACCAGAGCGCGAGCTCCAGACGCCAGACAGCCAGTTTGTCCATTTACGCCTCACACGGTCACACCTCTCCCACTTCCTATGCTACGCTACGGAGTACGGACCTACTCCGCGAAACCCGTGCACGTCTCGACGAAGAGAAGTGTTTTTATTCCTCAATACAAAAATGTAACAACAGTCTATGTACAGTTGCAGGTTACAGGCCTACTACACCGCCGAAAGAATCGCCACCGGCCGTCACCATCACGACACTGCCACCGCGTTCTGCCCGGCCTCCAGTTCTTCTTCCGACACCGCCAGAACGTTCTGGTCGATGAAGTTGAACAGCGCGAGCCCCGCGGCCCACACGTCGTCGTCCATCACCCACTCCTCCGGCGAGTGGCTGATGCCGCCGCGGCACCGCACGAACAGCATCCCAATCTGCGACCACACACACAATCCGGAGCGTCAGCATGCCGCGCTGAGCTTCACTCTACAGCGCACTAGTCACCAACCGATTATTCGTCTTCTTCTTACCTTGGTGAGCCTGGCCATCGCCATCGCGTCGTGCCCCGCGCCGCTCATCAGCACGGGCGTCTCGCCGGCCGCCCCCACGGTGCGCCCCGGCATCGCCGACACGGTCGACCGTGCCGCGCGCTTCAGCTGGGACGTTAGCTCCGGGTCACAGTGCGTCGCCGCCGCCGAGTGCTGGTGCCAAACGATACAAAGGTCAGGGTACCTCAATTCGGTATCACAAAATCTACACCGGCAGATATCATGAACCATCATGACACGAAGAATGCTGATTCAGTACTCCGTCTCACCTTATGCTCGACTTTGCAATCGACCAGTCTGTCGTCGCATTTCTGGAGAACCAGCCTCGAGAAGCTCGTGACGATCGTCTCCCTCACTTGGTCGTCCATCGCGCGGATGTCCACCGTGAAGTTCACCTGTCGCGGGCACGGCTCCAAGGTTCAGTTCAGCTGACTGATCTGAGCCACCGGTTCATCAGCAGGGCCAAGAGAAGAATCATGCATGGCAAAAGCTTACCTGGCCCGGAATCACGTTGCTCGCGCTTGGCCACGTATTCAGCTCGCCGACGGTGCACACCAGGCCGGCCAGGGATTCCTCGGTGAAGCAGCTGCACTCCTCGTCGTAGGTCAGCAACTTGTTGGGCTCTTTGCAGAGGCGCTCCAGAGTCACAACAAGCTCTGCGGCTGCAACCATCGGATCACGGCGCAATTTCATTGGAACTGTGCCAGCATGCCCTTGCGAACCATCTACTATTACCTAGAAAAACAAAAACAAGGCGCTGTAACTACTTTCCTTTTCACTTGAAAGTTGGTATATAACTATATATAGGGGACTTGGAAGCAACCCAGAATTGGCAAATCACAGTTGTCGCAAGCAGCTTGAATATTTAAATGTCAATGTTAAACTGAACAATCTGTGACACCAATGCCTGTCTTCCTGAACATTAACTAAGACTGGTTCTTGCATCAAAGATGACACATGACATAGGTGTACCATTTATTGAATGAGATGCATGTTGACTACCCCAGGTGTTTCTCTAATTGATTGTTTATCCATTACATGCATAGTTGATTAACTTATATTGACCACTCATACTCTTTTCTAAGAGAACACTCATAACTTTTATCTAAAAAAAGAGAACACTCCTAACTATCTTAAATTATTTGATTGCTTACCTGTTGACTGCTGTACTGTCAACTTATGGTTATCTAATATAGTTGGTACTTCTTTTTACATATAGTTGGCTCTGATACTGATTGTTTTTTAAGGAAAAAAATGACCATAAGCTAGGGAGCCATGCAGCTAGACCATATTTTAGTTTTTGGTTGATGTAGTTCTTGAATAGCATTTACTTTCACAAGAATAACAGAGAACTCTGATGCACCTTTAATCGTGTCTGTCCTGCAATTCCTTTTACAACACCAAGTGGATAACGAAGGGCTTCCAGGACAGGGCCTTGCTCCAGGTGTACCTACAATTTTAAAAATTATAAGTATTGTTTTCTGTATTACCAGGGGACTACATGAAAAGGGCATACAAAGACTTCATACCTCGACATAACTCCCCACAGACTCTGGGTTGTACTTGGCTTGACTAATAGCAGTAGAGGTAGCCTCAAAAGAATTCATTTTCAGAACATCTTGTACTGTAGTACCACTGATGAAATTCAATACAACAAATGAACTGCATCAGAGACAGTTCTGTAAAATAGTTTGGTTGGTTTACACGAAAAAGACAACACCTCTTGTCTGATACTTGTAAAATTGATTCAGGTAGTGTACCAGCTACAGCAGCGCTTCCCAGAAAAGTTGTCTGGAATCTGACACCCTCCTCATCGCTGAATGCAATGACCTAAGCTTCAACAGCGAAAAATGAGTGCTAGGCTCCGCCATGATGATATTTCCAGATGACGATAATGCAAACTAACTAATGCTGTTTCATAATTTGATATACCCTTCAAGCCATTTTAGCTTAAAGCATTGAATCCACACAGTGAAGAATAAATGATGATTTGATTCAAACCAAAACATGCTAACCTTGATCTATTGATGATGTCAATGCATTTGTTTTGTGTGACTCAAATGCATGACACCACCTGACAGCTTGTGCTTTTTGATTATCAGGATTGCCAGAATAACAAAAGATGAGCCGTGCATAGAATCTTTTCAAGATCAGTGGGAGGTACGTCGAACTGATTAAAGACACATTATAAAACTAGATTCCTCCTGATTTCTATATAGTCTTTCCTGATTATATTCTGATAGTACCTTGCAACTTAGCTATCCAATCAGCATATCAAAGTATAATATATAATTAATTGAGTAAAATATAATAACCCTACACCTGCTAGTGACAATAAAACAATGTGAAATATTCCGATCAAACATCTAAAAGAGTAGATAGACACAAGACACAAACAAGATCAATGTAGAAGTGTCGGATCTACAGGACGCATGTGGCTCATACTGCCACTTGTAGAGAGTGAGAATAGTATAAGGCCATTCACAAGTTGTGGTGGAGCAAAGGAACACGTTAAGATATGATACGATAGTAACATCAGTACTATACTGGAAACACTAGAGAATTCTCTAACCTCCACTGGTCTCGTTAGCCTCTGGAGTTTCCCAGCAACTTTCAAAACCTTCAGTGCTGAGATTGCACAAATAATACCCAAAGATCCATCATACATCCCAGCATCAACGACAGTATCCTGTTTATGCAAAGGGAAAAAAAGTATCAGTTAGTGGCTTATTGCTATATTGGGTTGCCATCAAAATACTGAAATAACAGAATAGTAATACAAAGGAAAATAGCCTCACCATATGAGATCCAATCAATAAGGCCTCTTTGGTAGAATTTGTCAGCTCAAATCGACCGTGAATATTCCCCATTTGATCAACCCACCTTCACGTTGAACAGAGATGGGTAAGTTAGTCAAGAGCAAAGGGTGAGAAAACAACTGCAAGCAAAAACACGTACGTCGTAAGTCCAGCATCTTTCATCCAGCTGATGATGACAGCAGTGGCTCTGATAGAAGCTGGACTCAGAAACGTCCTTTCAAGGTAGCCCTCCCCATCAGATATCTGGTCCGAATCAACGCCGTGTCAAAGACTTGCAGACGCACAGCTCAAATGTTAAACTTGATAACCAAAGAACAAGTTGGAAGAAAACGGGCCAAATCCTCGAAACCAGAAATCGCTCGCATCGGGTAATTGAGAATTCAGGTAAGCAACGTGAACATTTAGCCACCTCTATGGCGTAACCGCGTAAGGAACTAAGGTTATCTATCCCAGAAATCAAGGCAGGGATATAATATAGAATCAGAACCCAGCTAAAAAGATGAACACTTGATGGAACATAATTCGTTACAAGATGAAATACTCATCTTCTGCTGAGGGAAAAAGCAAGTTAAGCATCATCAGCTAATGCTCCCGTTCTTATTAAGTGATATTTACCGTTCCTGTGGTGCAGAATCTTAGGATTCAGAAAAAAAGGCTAAGAGAGGTGCAATCTGGAGCAGAGCTCCCCGAATTAAAATCTTGAGTATTTTGGCCGCAGAAATCTTAATACTGTATTTGCGTGTGTGAGAACATGCAGCCGCTAAACAGAACTTGACTGAACTGCGTCTTATCCGGTTTTCCAAGTAACAAACGGCCCAAAACAACCTAACAAGATTCCGCATCCCGAGCTGGAAAAGCGGATCGCGAGAAGGTGAATATTCGAGGAGCTAGCCAGGAACGAACGAATCGATGGACTGGAGGGGCCTGACCTTGCCCAGCTCCTTGAGCCTCAGCACGGTCTCGTCCCTGAGAATCTCCCGGTACAGGCCGTCTCCTCCTCCCAGCTCCGGCAGCCCATCTAATCAGTTTTTGGCAAAAACCC